AAATAAGAAGAAATAATTGAATACAAAAAAAAAAAGGTGATAAAAATAAAGAAATAGTAAAAAAAAAAATTGAAACTAACCCCGCCGCCCTTCCATCTGGTTGCCATTCTCAATTGATGGGGAGGGGGGATTGGCGGCGCGGGGGGGGGCTATTGTGGAACCTGGCCTTGGGGCGAGAGTAGGGAGAGTAAATCCGGCCCTGGTTGAAGAGCAGTGGCCATATACATAAATGAATATCAATATTATTTCTGTGTGTGAACCAGAGAGGAACCCACTATAGTAATGTAGTGTCTGTCACCAAGAGGCCCCAGAAAGTTCAGTTGAGCCCCAAATACTCCCAGACATGGCCATTTATTCTGTCGCCAGCCAAAGTGTTGGGTGTATGGGAAGTGACAGCTGAGTTTGCCGATACAAATTTGGAGGTCAGCGCCATTGTTGGACCACCCACTGAGTTCACATGTACTGAACATTTATTTTGCATTCCTTCTCATAATAATTGGAGGTTGTGGACTTCTGGACATCAGTTATTTGTAACTGTTGCGGACTGACACGGTAATGCCTACGTTAATCATCCACGTGCTTCAAAGTCTTAAATATGTACAGTATGTGAGTAATGGTTGGGCTTGGGCTGTGGACTGAGAGCTTTGCCTCTTATCTCCCGCTCATAGACGGTGGAAGCTGCCGACATTTGGGTGTTTTCTGATGATCTGTGAAGCTGAAATGTTGTCTCGGACTTATCATCCCAGTTATGTTATGTACAATATTTAGCAACCGTTTGCTGTCAGTCGATTCTTTCCAGAACCAAAGAGCTGAGTATGCAGCTGCAGGAAATATGTGACCCCCCCCCCATCAGTGAATTGCTAATATTATCCAGGAAACATGGCCTTCCCGAGGTCAGAGGGTCCACTAAATGTACCTTGAATGGAAAATTGTCATAAGAGAGATCTATGGTCTTCCATTGGTGACCTCTCCTTCTGAAAATGCTGCCATGCCAAACATCTGGCTTCTGTGTTTCCGAGTTCTAAACTTCGCTCACTCATACTTGTTTTGGGTCAAGTGGCTCCCAAAGTAATGAATCCAGGGATGGCCAACCAGCGTTGTTCGAAGGAGGTTAGCAATGGCAGCCAAGGGTGTAACTATAACCATAGCAGGAGCCTGGGGGCAGAGGGGACCCCTCTTAAGGTCTGTGAAAGGTTTGTGAGAAAAACTCATCCCTTCCTTTGATCATTGCCTCTTCCCACTGTGAAAAATCAAGGGTGGCATTGAAAATGAAGGACTGCTTTCCATGTATCGATCAACCTAGGTCAACTTAGTTCCAGCTGGCTGATATGTAGAAGTGAGGAACATCGGTGCACAGCAAAGGCAGCAGTGGGACCATGCCTAGAAAAAAACAGAACCTGTCTGGATTTTTCTGCCATTCCAGTAGCTTGGCCAGGCAGGCATGTACCTAATGTAACTGTGGCCACTAATGTGAACAGCTGGTATTAGGGGTGCTGTATGAGTCACTGGGGATCCCATACTGGGGGTAACACAGGGTCAATTATTGCATGCAAACCAGGCCACTGGCTGCCATAGCAACATGCCAGGTACTGCAGAGAAGGGTCTCTAATGGGCTACAAAGTGGGAAAACCCCATCAAAACTTAGTTACATGAATCTTTCCAATCCCCATGGGTATTGTGTGGCAATCCCACGGTAGAACTGGGGGTTGTAGTCACCCAGGACTCTCAGCCAGAGATGCTGAGCGGTTCCAGGAGGCGAGTTCTTGTACTGGGAAAGAGCTGGCTTTGAGGCTCTTCCCAGGATTTCTGGATTTGGCATGGGATCCTGAAATCTCCATTCCCGGGTCCGGGGTTTAGTAGTGGCCAGGACCTTATTGCACAACTGTGCACAGCCCTTATGGAAAGGGTGCTGGCCAATGTTCTGGGCTCCAGCTGGGAAGAGGAACAGAGGTGTTCAGGAGTCAGGAGGACTCCAGCCAGACGTCAGAGGGGAGCCAGGTGGCTGTGTGTGCTGGAGGCACACACAGGCCAAGTAGGGTTGCCACCTTTTCTTCAAGTGAAACCCGAACACTCTAGCGACGTGCAGACATTTTTTCTTGGGAGAATGAGTCGTGGCTTTTTTTTATATGTACATAGCACCACCCTTTCATATGTAAATATCACAGTTGAGACTATTTTTATTGGGGGTGGGGGGGGG